GGTCACACAGGTAATAGAAAAAGCCAGAATTAGAATCCAGGTCTTCTGACGCCTGATCCAGGGCTACACCACAGAGTGCATCTGTGTGGATTGCAGTACATGTTTTGACTACAAAAAGAAAAGCTGTAATTTTTGGTTCTTCTCCAAAAATTCAACCTGCAAAAAGAATGGAAACCCAGCTGGTATTTGGCTTCACTCCTGGGTAGATAATGGACTGCTTGCCATGGCTGTAAACCTTATCTCAATGTAAAGTAGGCATTTTAAAAATAACTTCTCCCACTGTGTTGTCTGCCAGGGAGGGAACAGATCCTACCCTGAACTATTGCTCTGAAGGGCAGGTGCTACAACTCTAGAACTGTCCATACACAAATAAAACACTGTGTGATACCTGAAGATGGCCCAGATTTATTTGCCTGTGATAAGAAGGAAGCTGTTTAGACTGCAGGAATTTAACTTGAATCCTCAGAGACAGAATGAGGCAGCTGTTGTCTAATTTCTCTAGTGGTCAGTGTGGAAAATGATGAGGCTGTTTTGAACAGACCCAATGACCATAGAGTTAGATATGCTACTAACACCATGCATTGTGTACAAAATTAGTATGAAGCAGTTATCTTTTTAAACATTAGCTTCTTCTAATCTGTGCCACATACCTGGATCTCCATCCCCTTTTGGAACCTGAGTCTAGGATTTGACTTGAAGCAATATTATTGTGGAGGGAAAGCACCAGTGGAGATTGGAGAGACCCAGGTCCTACTTAGTCTTTGTCATTAGCCTACTGGGTCATTTATTGTTATTGTATAGAATAGCAGAATTATGTAAGGTAATGTGAAATAATTGTGGAGATATTTAAAATATGAAGATTTTAAAACTAAGAGTTTACAAATATGATTAGTCAGTCCTAGTTATCTGTGGGAGTGGAGAAAAGCCAATGAGTCACTCCACAAGCATTTATTAAGATTTTACTGGATGCTAGGCTTTGTGCTAAGCACTGGGGTTACAGAAAGTTTAAAATATAGCCCCTGCCCTCAAGGAGCTCATATTCTAATGGGGAAGACAACATAGAAACAATTAGGTAAATAAAAGAAATACACACACACATATAATGTAAATGGGAAGTAATCTCAGAGGGATTGGTGGTAATACAATAATAATAGTGGAAGGGAATGAAAGGGCCTGGTGCAGAAGGCGGAATCTGAGCTGAGTCTAGATGGAGGCCAGGAGTCGGAGGTGAGGAGGGAGAATGTTGCCATGATGTAGGACAGCCAGTGCAAATGCATGGAATCTGCGTATGAAGTGGCTTGTGGGAGGGACAGCCCGCAAGGGCGATTGTTGATGGATCCTAGAGTTCCGTGGAATGGAGTCAAGTAGAAAAAGGCTGGAAAGGCAGGAAGGACCAGGTTATGAAGGATTTTAAAAGCGAAACAGAGGATTTTATGTTTGATTCTGGAGTTAATTGGGAGCCACTGGAGTTTATTAATTAGAGGGTAATGTGGTCAGATCTTCACTTTAGGATGATTACTTTGGCAACTAAAAAGAGTGATAAGTAGATAAAAGTAGATAATGAAATATCATTATCAATTACTGATAGGTCAAGTCACTTCTCCCTGAGCCTGTTTCCTCTCCTGTAAAATGAGGGGGTCTGACTAGATGATCATTAGGGTCCCTTTTAGCTCTTTCTTTTTTATTTTAGATTTGTATTGATATCTTTTCTCTTTACATTACCTAAATTTCCCACTGTATCCTTCCTTCCTTCTCTCTTCTCCTCCCAGAAGGCCATTTCTTAGAACAAAGGAAAAAGAAAAAGAGGAGAAGGGAAAAAATTAGAAAAATCACTCAGTGAATTGGATAGAATCTGACAGTTTGTGGAATTTTCCACACCGGTGGTCCCCTCCCTCTGCAGTGAGCAGAGAGAAGTGTTTTCTTAAATCCTGACTTTGGGGCCAAACTTGTTCCTTGTAATTTTGTGACGTTCACTTTCAGTTGATTTGTGATAGTTTTTTTTTCAATTTGTGTTGTAGTCCTTGTGTTTATTGTTTTCCTGACTCTCCTGCTCACCCTTTCTATGACTTTATGAACTACTTTACTATCTTAGTATAAAATCCAGGAATTCAACATGTCCTGATTTCCCATCCCATACTTTCTTTTCTTCAAAGAAATTCATTACCCACTTCATTTGTGGCCTTATTTTCACAAGACGATGATTAGATATAGTATTACCATGAGCTGAAACACTGGGAAGAGCCGAAGGACTGTTTCTCATTGTGACAGGCTATTTAAGAGAGATGCGTTATTTGTCCTCAAAGCTGCTGTGCACAGTTTCACAATTTGTCAATTATTTAGTCAGTAAAGCACTTATTATGTATCAGGCACTCTGCTAAGCACTGGGGATACAAGGAAAGGCAAAAAATTCAAACGAAATAACCCCTGCACTCAAGGATCTCACACTGAAATGGAGGAGACAACATGCAAATAAGTGATATATTTATGCAAATATATATATATATAATATATATATTCATGCAAATAGATAATAGAGTGGTTTAAGGTAATCTGAAAGGGGAAGACATTAGCAGTTACTGGGGATTAGGAGAGGCCTCCCAATAGAAGGTTGGAATTTGCACTGTCTTGAAGGAAGCCAGGGAAATTAAGGGGTGGAGGGGCAAGGGCGGAGCATTGTAGGCATGGGTCAGTATGAAGGCAAAGAGATGGCAGATGAAATGTCATGTTGGGTGAACTATAAATAGACCTGTGTAGCTGCATTTTTGAGTCCATGGAAGGGTTAAGGTATAAGAAGAAGTCAGGTTATAAAGAGCTTTAATTACCAAACAGAGAATTTTGTATTGGATCATGGAGGTAATAGGGAGCCAAGGCAGCTTATTGAGTAGGAGAATGATTTGGCCAGACTTAGACTTTGGAAAAATCAAAAATCACCTTGGCAAGTTGAGCAAGAATTGATTCAAGGTGGGGGGATTTGAGTCAGGGAGACCAGATAGAAGGTTATTGCAGGAGGTGATGAGGGCCTGAACTAAGCTGGTTGGAGGTGTGAATAGAGAGAAGGGACATATATGAACAACACTGTGAAAACAGAACCAACAGTATTTGGCAATAGATCGCATATGTGGAATGAGTAAGGAGTGGAAGATCACCATGAAATCGTGCATTTGGGTGACTGGGAGCAAAGTAGTACTGTTAACAAAAACAGAGAGGTTTAGAAGAGGGAAAGATTTGGATGGGAAACATAATCAGTTCTGTTTGGAGCCTGTTAAGTCTGAAATGTGTACTTGTTTGTAAGCCAGTGCTGTTTGGGACCATTAATTGTTACTCTGTAGAATTGTGCAGTTATTTATGTACTACACCCTCTAGGTACCCCTTCAGCCATAAATTCAAACTAATAAGGTGATGGGTTTGCCAGTGATGGCCACCACCAACGATTGTAGGGTCAACCCACTGGGGCTTCATTCAACGCTAATTCCTTGTGTGCTTTCCCTTAATAATCAGCCAGTAGTCATAATTAAGTCATGGCAAATGTATTTGCTACAATGACATTGTGAGAATAGTAGCAAAACATTCCCTCCCTTAAACTTGTGCATTCTCCCACAAATGCACATAAGGCTAGAAACTCAGCCCTTGAAGACATGTCTGGACAGAGGACTTGTTCATATCTCATAAAGGCATGGTCATAATTTTACAGGTAGTTTAACACATTGTTACTGTGCTAAAACCTCATCATTCATAATGAAATCCTGTGCCTACAACAACTAAATAGTGCAGGATAGGAAGTCCCCTTTCTCATCTTTCTTGCACTTAAAATAATATTACAGTGAATGTTTAAAATGGGAAGGTTTTCTAAATGAGGGTCTAAAAGGAGGAGTATTACTCTATAAGTGACTAATGGAGTCTCAGTTATCTGCAGTAATGAAAAAAACATTGTGAATATCATTAAAAAAATGGATATAAATGACTTGCCCAGTGTCACAAAGCTAGTATCTTAGGCCAGGTTGGAACTCAAGGTTTTCTGACTCCAGGTCTTGCACTTTATAAACTGTGGAACCTAGCTGCCTTGAATGAAGCCAGCTCAGTCATCAGGACAATCAACATTTTTTGCTTCCTTAAAAAAATTCCTTATTTGGAATTAAGTACTAAGAAGGAGTGTGCATAATGGATAGCAGACTGGCATTGGAGTCAGAAAACCCTGGGTTCAAATTCTGCCTCTGCTATTATGGCACTATCTCTGTGACTATGGGCAAGTCCCTTAACTTCATTCAGCCTGTCAGAGAACTCCCTAAGACTATATATTGTAGACAGGTTGCCTGTTTGCATCACTAGAGGGAACTTCCACACTGGAAGTTCTTCCAAACCCCTCTCCCCCAAAAAAGAGTTAAAAAATGAGAAGGAACCAAGCTCTATGCGTTTGCTAACCATATATAAATTCTAATTGAGAATTATTTCTTCGTGATTCCATGGTTAGTATGGTGCTATAAACAATATCAATGATTTAGAACATTCTTCTTTAACCCCATGTGGGCACCTTATGGCTTCAATAAATGGTGTGTACTCATTGGGAGGTTTTAAAGCGTTGATAGTCTCTTTCAGCATGACTGTGACTGGTCCCAGGCTTTCCATCTTTCAAAAAGCACAAATATATGGTATTGACCTCTCAATAAACGGTGTTGGGCTGGTGCATTTATTTGCAAAGCACAGCCTTAGCAGATGGCCTCTGAGGTTCTTTCCAGCCCCACAGTCCTGTGACCTTGGTCACATATTGATCACATCCTTGCAATTGTCAGTTTTCTATTTCATAAGGCCCTCTTTCAAATAGATAAAACAACTTGGGTGGGGGGGACATTGGAAAGAACATGTGTTGGCCTCACGTCTTGCCAGTTGGGGTTATTGTAGTTCAAAAGTGGAATGTTTGTTTTTGGAAAGAAGAAGCTTAAAATACTTAGTGAGGCATCCTAGAATTTCAAAGTAGTCTTTTTTTTTTTTTTAAATCCCCACAGGAGATAAAGAAGGAGATGAAGAAAGAAACCCTTTCCAGCAAACCTCCCGAGAAACCCATGCAGGAAGTGTCCAATGGAAGCTCTTTGCTGTCTTCTGACACGGTTATAAGAACCAACAAAAGAGGTATGACAAGAGCTGCTGCATGATTTCAATCACTTAGTTAACTCTATCCTCTCATAGATTTTTGAGTTTTCAATCGCCAAAAATTAAATAAAAAAGCACTTACAAAAATCTTTTCATCATGATAATAGAATAGCCCTAAAAGAATCCATCCAAACTAATGCTGATCTGGAGAGAAGGTTCGGAGAACTTTTCTGGCAGTGGGGAGGAAGAGTGATAAAAAGAGCATTCTTTTGGTGGTGTTTTTCTTCTTCTTTTTTTTTTTTTCCAAAAGCTTTGGGATTATTTGCCGTATTTCTTTATGAAAAGCCATTTGGACAGAAGGGTTTACTTTCAACTAAGTAAGGATACACATTTAGTTGGACACAGTTATCAAATGAGACAAAGTGCTTAATAAAATACTAAGCCTATGAATGTTACCTAAAATAATAATGATTATTTTATAGTACTGGTGCCAGAATTTTATGTGCTATACACATTTGTGCCACAGTCAGTGGACCTCTTCACATTATGCTGGCTTTGTCCTTCTGAATGTTATTCTTCTGGGCACTGAGGCAGCATGTGAGTAGATATATTTAGTACACAGTACAGTGTTTAACATCATTAGCAATTCCTTGCGATGAGCTTCCTATCTCTAGGGATCTTCAAGCAGAAACTGGATGAACACTTGTTGGGAATGTGGGTAGATGGCTGTTCTCCATTTAGGTGAAGGGTTGAGCCATATGGCCTTCGAGGTCTTTTGCAACCTCTTTATTTTTGCAAAGTTTTCAGTTACAAGCTTGTTGTAGTCAAGTTTCTGTTTTGTGTACGTGTATGTGTTTGCATGTCTGTTCTTTATTTGACTTGCTTTGTTTCAATGATAGAAGAATACGAGATTATTCAGTAGATGCTGCCTATTTCCAGTATATTATATTGCAGTGATCTGTATGCACGTGCCCTCGGTTTTTTCCCTTTCAGCCTTTGGCAACATAAATTCAGTAACCATTGGGTGGAGAGCACTGTTCTGTGGTCTGTGATTAGTTACAAAGGCAGTGGAAGACATTGAAAGACACAACAGGGATTGTGAACCTGGGTTCAGGAGGACTGTGAACTTGGATGGGGAAAAATTTTGCATCTTTCTTTTAATATAATTGATTTCCTTTGTATTTCCTGTGTTTTTTATTTTAAGCAGTTAAAAGCATCATGCTGAGGAGGGGTCCATATATGACTGCACACACAAAGAAAAGTTAAGAACCCCTGATACAGAAGAAAGAAGTCAAGTTTATATAATGATGGGGAATAACAGCTAATCCTTCACAAAATTTAGACAGGGAAAGACTCTCTTCAGTCAATGTCTGAGTGTCAGGCTCTTTTTTGTATACTGCTCTAGATGTTAGTGTTGTATCTGTCTTTCTCTTCCTGCTTCCCCTCCCTTCGCATCCCTACTCCCCGTTACAGTCCCGACCCTTTCTCTATTCCCTTAAAACCCCCTCCCCCTACACATACCCTGGCCCCTGCCTTCAGCTGTCCTGGTTAGCAATTCCTTTTTTAGACATGTTCAGAATGAATATTTGCCGGTGCTCCCTAGTTGCTAGAAGCTATAGTATTTATATTTTGCACTTAAAAGTTTCTTGCTGCAGATTAGGAGTCTCCTGGTTGTAAGAATTAGTATTGTACTGTAAGTGGAAACCACAGACCTGCAGAAAGCGTGACTCAATACAGTCTTGAGAATTGGTTTCATAATTCTAAAGACTTGAAAAAAAATCAGATTCAGGTCTCTAAATTTAATTTGGCACCCACTCACAGTTACCAGTATGCCCTTCCCCTTTCTAGATACTCCTACATTGCTGTTTTGTTTTTTTTTAAGCTATTTTTCATGTCAGTAGGCTGAAGAAACATGTATATCTACCTAAAAGTACATTTAAGCTGTGAGGCCTACAAATTCACATCTAAATCATACAAACATTTATTAAGTACTTGCTATATGAAATTAAATCTGAATCAGTTTAAATTGAATGTGTGCAGGAGGGAATAGTTTTCTTTTCTGGGTGGTGTAAAGGATGCAGACTCCAGGTCTGGAATCAGGAAGGCTCCAGTGTGGCCTCAGATAATTACTAGCTGTGTGGCCCTAGGCAAGTCATTTAACCTCTGTCTGCCTCAGTTTCCTCAACTGTAAAATGAGGGTAGTAACAGCACCTACTTCACAGTGTTGTTGTGAGAAGTAAATGAGATACTGTTTGTTCAGTGCCTGGCCCATAAAAGGTGCTCTTTGTTGTTGCTGTTTAGTTGTGTTTGACTCTTCATGACCCCATTTGAGGTTTTCTTGGCAAAGATACTGGGATAGTTTGACATTTCCTTCTCCATATCATTTTACAGATGAAGAAACTGAGGTAAACAGAGTTAAGTAATAACAGTTGTGATATAAATGCTTATTTCCTTCCACCCTTCTCCTTTTCAGAAGCTCTTTAACCTTTTATGTGTTGTGCACCTGTCTGGCAGTCTGGCGAGGCCTAAGGACCTCTTCTCAGAACACATAGAATAAAGTACAAACCCAATCTGTTGCCATGGCCTGTTGATTTCACCTTTGCAACATCTCTCTTCTGACACCATCATCTGTCTAGTGTAGGCCCTCATCACCTCATATCTCCATTATTGTAATAGCCTGCTGATGGGTCTGCTGCCACAAGTGTCTTCCCCACTCCAATCCATCCTCCATTTAGCCATTAAAGTGATTTTCCTAAAGCACAGGTCTGACCAGGTCATTCCTCTACTCAGTAAACTTCAGTGGCTCCCTATTGCTTCCAGGATCAAATATAAAGATGATAATATAAATAATATAATAATATAAATAATATAATAACATAAAATTCTCTGTCATTCAAAGCCATTTCCAACCTAGCCACCTCCTGCCTTTTTAGTCTTCTTCCACCTTAAACCCTGACACGTACTCTTTGATCTGGTGACAGTGGCCTCCTGGCTATTCTACAAACATGACATTCCATGTCTTGGCTCTGTCCTCCTGGCCTGGAATGTTCTCCCTTCTCATCTCTGCCTACTAATCTTGCTGGCTAAAATCCTTTCTTCTCCAGGAAGCCTTTCCTAACTCCTTAATTCTAGTGCCTTCCCGCTCAATTAGTTCCTATTTATCCAGTATATCACTTGTTTGTACATATTTGTTTGCATGTCATCTCCCCAATTTGATTGTGAACTCCTTGAGGGCCTCTTTTTGTGTCCTTAGTGCTAAGAACAGTGCCTGGCACATAATAGGGCCTTAATAAATGTTTGTTGATTGATTAGAAAGGAAGTCAATTATAGTGAAATAAAAATGTCTTTTTTTTTCCATGCAAGTTCACAGACCTCCTCCCCCCTCCTCCTCGCCCGTTAGTCGGTCTATGGACTTCTAGATCCATGTATCCCAGATGAAGAACCCTGGACATAGAAGAAAAACTTGCCCAATTCCTGACGTTTATGGGCTTATATTCTGATAGGAAGGATGAAGCATACACAAATAGTTATAATAAAATTTACAGTATATATGTATGCAAAGAAAGGGACACGATGCAGAATAAAGGGAATGGGTTTAGAGGCAAAGGGTCTAGATTCAGATGACTGCCATGGTGTGACTGAGCAAGTCCCTTCACCTCCCAGTGCCTCAGTTTTCTCATCTGCAAAATAAAGGTGGTTGTAATAAATGTTCTCTCTGGGAAAGGTGATCCTGTGAGGTCAGGTGGAATGGCCTAAGAGATTTAAGGAAGGAGAGATCATGTCTAGCTAAGAGGAACTGGGAAGCTTTATGGAAAAGGTGCCTAGGGCATGTGTTGGGCCTTGAAGGAAGGGAAAGGTTTCCATAGATGGCAGAATGAGGGAGATGGTCCCTGTATGGAGGACAAATATATGGGCGTACAGGAACTGTGAGGGCCATGAAGAGGTCAGGAATTGCTAATGATTCTGTTTGGCTAAACCAAGTCTTGTTAATCTGGGGTCCAAGAATCTTTTTTTTTTTTTTGTTACCAATTTTAATAACTGTATTTCACTATAATTGATTTCTTTCATAATTTTACTCCTTGATATCCAGATCAACTACTATGACATCTTGTACAAACTGCCCCCAGACTCCCAAACTTATAGAATCATACAATCATAGGATTTAGAGCTAGAAGCAAAGTACCTCTGAAATCATCTAGAGCAAGGGTTCTTAAATGCCCACATTCATGAACTTGTTTTTTAAAAATATTTTTATAACTAATTCACTATAATTGTTTTTCTTTGTAATCCTCTGCATTTCATTTTATGCATTTAAAAACATTATTTTGAGAAGGGGTCCATGACACTCAAAAAGTTAAGAACCCCTGGGCTAGATCAAATGAAATATTTGTAAAGCACTTAGCATAGTGTCTGGAGCATAGTAAATGCTATAGAAATGTTTTTCTTCCCTTTCCCCTTCCCTAGACCATAGACAATTGAACAGGAATAATAGTAAGAAGTAGGCTGGAAAGGTGGGTTGGAACTAGATTTGTGTAATCACACTTAATAAAGTGATATCAAAGCCTGAGATCATTGTCTAGATATTACAGGTAAAAATATCTAAATACTTAAAATAAAAATGGAAGTAATTTTTCTCATGATTATTTCAGTTTTCTCCTATACTATGTAAGGGAGAGGCATATAGAGTAATGGATCAAGAATTGAACCTTGAATCAGAAAAACCCAGGCTCAGATACCTCCCCAGATACTTAGAAATTGTACGACCTTCTGTGTAACCTCTCTGGACCTCAGTTTATTTGTCTGTAAAATAAGAGGGCCAGACTTGGTTACTGAGGTCCCTTCCAGCTCTGAGTTTACAATATTATGAACCTATGAACTAAAAATGACTTCCCTCCTCTTTACAAAGATTCTCCTCAAAACAATAACAACAAAATAGGAAGTAGAATGTACTATATTTCTTTTTCGCTCAATGCCTACTTTTGTTTAGGGCCTAACTCAGCCTGATGCTCAGTAAGGCCATCCTGATTTCTTTTGGACCC